ATATTTATATCTATAAAATTATTCTTCGCTATTCTAAAAACTACAGTTGATTTTAACAGATTGTTCTGAAGGGATGTTATATTAATTAAGTACAGAATCAAAACTTTCATTGCTGTGATTTATTCCTCTATCACTTCTTCCTTTTTCATTTATAAAGTACTACATAACAAATAAACAAAGTTTAATTGAGAATAAACACACTGTTGGTGACGTAACATCATATACACTACCGATTTAATTTTAACTATAATATTTATGTGATTTTATGTCAAAATGGTAAGGGTGCACTGGCCGTTAAACATGGCTGTGCCATAAATAAATAAATTATACGATGCTGTTACTCACGTAAATTTTGTGTGTAATGGTAAGTTAATAACGTGCGATAAAGTTTGGAAAATTCGCTACTGGTCAAATTCACCAAAATGCTGGAAATAACTGATTTTCAAAGTAAGTTTACCCAAATCAAGAGGTAAGTGGGTAAGGACAAACGTACGTTGCTATGTCGTTCTAACTTTAACAGTCTAAGCCTAACCGTAATTTATTTTTTTAAAAAAGATATTATCGTGAAAAATAGTTTTACTTTTATACTATATATATATAAATGATAAAGAGTTTTCTTGATATTAGTATGTAAATTGTAAGTACATAGGTTTTGAATGAAACTCGAGGTAGGGTTGCAACCTAGGCCCGGGACATTATTAATAATGATATTATTATTATATTTTTTATAGTATAAACTGTAAATGTAATTTATAAATACAAGTTCAGTAGTACCTTCTCCCCCCGTCTCCTAGTTTATAGAACGCAAATTGGCATGATTTGGTGTGTAAACACCTATCTAGCATTTTTTCCCCATGGAGGAAGAAAATGTATTGTCAATAAAAAAAAGAAAAAAGAATATAAACACGAAGAAGACCTATATTTCAAAGGTCTTTATAAATATACATTAAATGACTATGTATACTTCAAAGTTCAATATATAGGCTCACAATTGAAATATGTATACCATATATAAAAATGCCCCTATAGGCTATAGCCATAAAAAACAAACACTGTAAGATAGGCAAAAGTAACAGTTCATGTTTTTCTTTTGAATATATGTATATATATATATATAACACAGTAGCCTAAATGAGTAAATGTTACTGTTACAGCCTCTATCTCATTGCTCTAATGTTACTTTACCTAAAGATTGGTACTGGTAGTTCAATATATATATATATATAATACATTCTATTAATAAAAGATAGTCACTGATAAATTCTCTATCATTTATTAATCTGCATAAGCTGTTTCATTCACAAATCTGTTGGTGTTTATTGTATCTTGTAGTTTCCATAAACTTCACAACTACCCCGGAGACCATTTAAGTGCTAATGACATATAAATTTCTACACTTAGGTGAGGTCAAAGAAACATCTCCCCGATACATATTGAACCAATTGTATCATAGGGAATGTTCATTTTGCCATTCTATTACTAAAGACTAGTAAAAGTACAGGCCTACTGTTAGTACTCAGTTACCATACTTGCATATAAATATTTCTGACTTTGCTGCAGTTAACACACAAGTTTCATGTTGTATTCCTTTAACACATTTTGCATGACACTTACATTATTATTACTATTTTACACAAAATTTGAGAATGCTAATATTCTTTGCTGTAAGTTACATTTTCATACAGAGTTAGCAAAGCTGTTGAAAATTGAGTTTCAGCATTTATAAGTCTGTGGGATAGGTATATCACAGTCTAACTATTGGACTGGTTAGATAGTTAGATGGCTTTTAGTGTAAAATGTAAACAAAATAATATTAGAAGTTCTGAACAGTGGAAAAACAGTTAGTGCTATTAAATGAGCAGACTAGTAATTGTTAACTAGTGACCTATACAATGAAATTATAACCTCTTTAGAATTGTATTCACTATTTTTGTGAATATAACCAAAAATCCTATTTGCTTTACCATTAGCAACAGCACTTTGCTTTGGTGACTTAAGAGACTGATCAACTAGAACACCAAGATTCTTTTTTTTTTCATAACACTGAAAGGTTAATTTCATCAAAATTATATTCATAATTCAAATTATTATATCCTACAAGTATTACCTGGTATTTATTGTAATTCAAGACAATCTGTCATTTATTTGTCCAATTCACCAAATCATCTAAATTCCTTTGTAAAGCAGCAGAAACTTCCTCTCAGCCAAAAACTTTAATATGATCAGCAAATTTAAATAGTTTATTGACCATTCCTTCATCTATATCATTGATGTAAATCAAGAAGAGCAAAGATCCTAACACTGAGCCCTGAGGTACTCCATTTGTGACATTAATCTAGTTTGACTGAATTTCATACATAATAATTAAAGAGCTTGTGTATGTGTGACTGCCATAGCTCAAAGAGGAAAGAACCTAGAGATATGAAACTTTGCACTCATACTAAGGGGATTCTGAGGGTGTGCACCTGGATATTTTTTAGATTAGACTCAACAAATCTTTGGCCAATTTTTTTGCCCCATAGACCTTAAGCCCAACAGACAAATCAGTTAAAGAATTGGTGCATTTGGATAGCTATAGAAGTAATTAAGATAATGCAGATGTTTGACTGGTACATCGAGGCCTCTGTGAATCATGAGGGGACCTTAGAAACCTGTAGCAGAACGGTGGTATTTTATGCTAGTTTATAATAACCCTCTGCTTTCTTCCTTCCAGACAGTTTTCTGTCCAGTGAGCCATCCTATCTCCCACACCTAAAGATAATTTTTTAAACAAGCATTTTATGTGTCACCTTATCTAACGCTTTTTGAAAATCCAGATACACAAAATCCACACCAATACCATCATCTACATAAGCATTAACATCTCCATAGAATGTCAAAAGATAGGTGAGCCAAGATTTTCCTTAACTGAATCTATGCTGACTATCCATCAACATTTTAAACTTTCTTAAATTGCTTTGCAAAGCATGAAAAGAGGCCTTAATTGTTTTTACCTTTGTGTTGTTTCCCTCTTATTATTTTATGCTACTTCCTCAAATTTAAATTGATCGATTGCTGATAAGTTATTGAATTGGTACACTTGCAGTAATATAACACAAATATTTATGTTTGTTTTTTTACACTGAAATTTAAATGTAAACAGTTTAGACTGAGATGAAGTTTAGCTACACTTCTTATAATAGATTACTTTCAGATGTGGAGATGTAACAGGATTTGAAGAATTCAAGTAAGGGTGTGATGAGTACTTTGGATGTCAGGACTAGATATAGGCTTATGGGTATTTGATAAAATTAATAAAACATACAAAGTGGACCAAAGCATCCTTGTTGCCCCTCAAAGTTTATGTAAAGACATATTTATGTATTGTTAGAAAATTACATTTATTAGGACACTGTATAAATATCATATGAAAAAAAAAGAAAATTTGGAAGTGTGTTTTTGGGGTTAAATTTATTTTATGACCTTGAGAAGGCACAATTAAAGTTAATTTAATCTGTAGGTTTTAGAATAGTAACAAATAACACAGGCTTGTGAATTTAAAGTTCATAAAAGTTGTTTTGGTTTTAATAACAGTTCTTACATAATTCAGCTATGCAGATTTTGGAAATATTATTCCTTTGTTTCTATCACATAAGAATTTTTCTACAAATTGGGAAGAAAAACAACTCTTACTGAGATCAAACTATTATTTCGTTTACCACAATGAAAATTTTTATTATTATGTTTGGGTTCTAGAATTATCGATAAGACCCTCATGTCATGATTTGTCTAGAAAAATCTATAGCCATTGGTTGTCACCATTTTAAGCATAACAAAATGTGACCCAATTTCTGTGAAAATGATTCATTTATGTAAAAGTACATAAGACATTTTGTGAAAAATCTGTATCTGATGGAGAAAAATGGAAATCATTTTTGAATTCACCATACGGGAATTACTGTAGAACATGAAAAACTTCAATACAATAAAACTATCGCAGGCCTGTGTTATTGATCTACCAAAAGTTAAAAGGTCATACTGGAGACAGACACTAGGTAAATAATCACAAGCACATACTTAATGAAGTGTATTTAACGTGTGTTGTAAATAAAGTTTACACCTACATTAAGACACAAATATTATTTCCTGCTCTATTCTTAAGCAACCTCGGGTATTTTAAAGTTAGGGTTGGATTAAAGCATATGTTGGAGGTTCCTGGTATTAAATTTAGATGTAAAATAATCATACGATTATATAATAAGAGGCCTTTAATCACATCTTATGCTATTATTATTTTTGATTATTCTACCAGTCAGTTGATTTTCCTGAAAATAATGAACTTATTGAAATTGTGTTTCCAATTACTAATGTTTTTTCGTTATTCCAACAAACAAGAGGCCTTTAATCACATCTTATTGCTATTATTATTTTTGATTATTCTACCAGTAGTTGATTTTCCTGAAAATAATGAACTTATTGAAATTGTGTTTCCAATTACTAATGTTTTTGGTTATTCCAATAATTAATTGATAGAAATTATGATTTAATTGTATGTCACAAAAATAATAAATTTATAGAAATTAGGTTTTTTTTAATTGCTGTTTGTTTATTGTTAAGCACAAACTAAATAAACTTTACTTTGCCCACTTTTTGCCTTGTAAGTTTTTTTTCCTTTAGTTTGTTTAGCTTTGGGGATTTTGGAGAGGGGGAGTCATGATTTGAGGATCTCAGGTTTTATTCCAATTGCCACCAAACTTGCTTGCCCAGTCTATGTTATGCCAAAGCTACTAAGACTGTCTTCCATTGTTACCCATTTTGAACTGTTGATAAGATGGAATGCAGCTGGCTGGCAACTTCCGTTGTCAGAGTGTTTTTTCTTTAATTGTACATAACATGGATAGAGGAACCCTGTATTAATCAATTACTTGAATGTAACCAATTAATAGAGTCATTGATTGCTTGATTCGCAAATACCACTAATTGTCCAGCTCTATTGTTGATTATTATAACTATTCAAGTAATCAAAATATTACCATTATATTTGTTTGTTGTTAAACATAAAGCCAAACAGCTGTCAATGTTCTGTATACTACAGATATTAAAACTTATTGCCATTATAATTATCTTTTTAGCCATTTCATTAAAAAAAATTAGTTAGTTGAATGATCCCAAAGATTAATTGATTAGTAGAATCCAACCAATCGCCCAGCTACAATCATTGAATTTTTTTTTATTATTTGATAAATAATAATTGTGGCATGAACCATCTGATATGTAATATAAGTACCAACCTTAAAAAAATTTGTTTATTTATAATCATTTAAGCACTGGAACAAGAGGTTTATTCTTTTTCTGCTTGTTATTTCTGACAACATGAACTTCAAGATTAATTAATCAAAAGATTATGTATTTTAATCCTGTTATTATGTTTGTTTTACCTTTTAACTTAAATTCTTGGTACTATCTAAATTCATAATTTTCATCAACTAT